TTATCTTTTTTTTCCTTGGAAGGATATGTTTCTTGTATCACTTCAGAATCAAAGAGGAAACTAATTTCATTCTTAATGCTCTATTGCTTTCATCCTTCAGACACTTCCATAAAAGTGTGGATTTGTAGAAGATTTAAATTAACACCAAATTTCAGTTCACACTCAAGCATACATAATACACGATACCCTGTAGGCTCTAGATTTATTTAGATTTCAAACCAGAGGTAGATATGAAATATGTACAAGATTGAACACAGTCAGGGCTGACGTGACATTAATTGCTCGTGGTCATGGTCTCCTCCATCAAATCAACCCTGACATGTCAGTAGGTAAGCTCTATGCCCTGCTGTTTCTCTGGATGCACTTTTGGAACCCACTTCTCCACTGTTGAATGTAGGAAAGACTAGAAACGTAATAATTCTCTGGGCCAAAGGGTACTTCAAGTGCTTTTAACCAAGTTCAAGTGAAGAATTTTCATTCCTGATCTTGGCACTGACCTGTCTGTAAAGGAGAGCACTGACGTGCTGTGCAATGTGACTGGCACAGTCACCTGAATTTCCCACTGAACATGATGTTCAGGAAAAGTATTTTCATGGCACTTTTTCCCCCCCAAATGAACACTTTAATATTTCTGTTGCGTATTAGGAGCCATACATAGCTCTGGACGATGAAGTAGCATTTCCTTTGGGAGTCAGGCTGTCAGTCCTCACACTTGCTACACCCAGGCCTGTATGACGCTCCTGTGTCTCTCCTCCCCATCACCTTAGTGCCTGTGACGCTTGTGTTTGTCACTGTTGCCAACACACCGGCACACCACAGCTGCCGTTCCCTGCTGTCTTTATCTCTTCCTTGTGTGTTTTTTTCTTTTTTGCTGTGTCTAGACTTTAAGTCATGGAATACCTTTGCTGTCGCCAACAAAATTAATAACACCCAGTGAAAACTAACTTTATAAAACAGAAAAGGGGAATGACTTGGCCAACAGAAGCCCAGTGCAAATGACTTTTATGTAAAGTCACCAAATTAGGGACAAAAGTGAACTCACATCCAGCGTTCCAGCCCCATGCTGCCTTTAAAGTGAGTTAACAGCATTTTAAAACCATTTTATTGAGATATAATTCACATAGTATACAACTGGCCCATTTAAAGTATGTAGATTTTAATTCCACAGCCCAGTGTGAGGTTATTTAATGTAGCTTTCATAGTTTTCTGCTTTTACTTCAACGACAATTCAACGATGATATCAAAAGTAAAAATGGACTCAGCAATTTCTCGTTTCTTACTACTTTTATGCTTCTTTCTTTCAATCATTCTTGTTGTCCTTAGAAAAAGGAGAGGTGCTGAACGGCACAGACCTTGTTTCCAGTGGCAGTGTGACTGTCCCTGCAGGTGGCAGGAGGGACCTGAATGGGCCACAGGCCACAGTCCTGCCTCTCTCCCCGAGAATAACTGAGCAACGCTACACAGCAGGCGGGCGCTAAGTGCTTTGCATTGCTGAGTGGGGTAACTCCTTCAAGGTTTCCCAGCTAGTAAAACTTTGAATATGGCAGTGGGGCCTCAGAACCAGGTGGCCTCCCCAGGACTTCCTTTTTTAAATTATTATTATTAGTAAAGTATAGTTGACATACAACATTGTATTAGTTTCAGGATACAACACAGTAATTGGACACTTACATCGCATACAAAGTGATCACCACGTTAAGTCTAGTAACCATCTGTCATCACGGTACCAAGCTATTACAAAATTACAGACTCTATTCCTGTGCTGTATTTTACATCTCTGTGACTTATTTATTTTATAACTAAGTGCAGCCACCCCCACCATTCTCCCTCGTGGGCGCCTGGCATTTTTGGTGTGGCTTCCTCCCATATCCGTGCCCTGGCCTCGTGGGCAGCTGTGATTCAACTGTTCCCCATGGGTTCAGCCCAAGGGAATCCTGGAGCTGGGAAATGACCCGATTGGAGCTTTTACTGCATGTCTCCAATGTCTGTGATGTTGGTGTTTCTCTCCTTTACTCAACCATGAGTGCATTGGGGCAGGGACCCTCCATTCATCATCTTGTCCCTAAAATCTGCTTGGCAGATGCTAGACATCAAATAAATGTTTTATAAATTAATTCTAAGCACCAAATTTTACCAGAATTAGCGGGAATGACCAGGATATAGTCACACTGCATCTTCTCAATGATCCAACAATTGAATCTCCAAGCTTATGTTGGGGTCACCCTGCCCACCCGCCCCAGCCCCTTTTCCCTTCACTGTTGCAGCTGATGGGCTCAGAACGGATGGAGATGCGGAAGCGACAGATGCCCGCAGCCCAGGAGACGTCAGACTCCCTCCCGGGCCAGCGCGGAGCGGGGAGCCGAGGATCCAACGCTTGTTGCTTCTGCTGGTGCTGCTGCTGTAGCTGTTCTTGGTGAGGTTTGGGGCTCTGTAACTAACGTGCTTCTGGCTGAGAAACTGTACCTCCCAGTTGTGGCACAGCAGTGCCCTTTAAACAACTACCGCATGCCTGACACTGACTTGGGTTCCGTGAAGGAGCCTTAGCTCTGAAGGGACCTATATTCACATTCCTGAAATCAGGCTGATGTTGTTAAAAGAAAACAACTAAAGAAGAATCGGAGGCAGTTGATGATTGAACATTAATATTTGGTCAGAAATGCCGCCTAGATGACTAGAAAGGAGTGAACTCAAGGAACTCTACTTGGTAATACAGGCTTCGTGGATGAGTTAGAATTTAAGATGGGCCTTAAAGGTCAAGGTTCTGGAGCACAAAGAGCTTGAGTTTTATCTTCTGCTGCCTTATTAATTTTTTTGTTTTTTAATAAAGAAAAATGTAAAAATATATGCCTAGCAGGAAAAAAAAATCTAAAAGCATAGGCTAACTTACTGATAGAAGAAACACAATCATTGCTTAAAAAGAGAGACGTAAGATTTGAATCTAAAACACCTTTGCTATTTGAGTCACACAGTTAAAAGTCTAGAGAAATGTATATGATTTATTCTTTGAAATCATAGGAACATTAGATTGCATTTCTGAAATATCGGATATGAAAAGCACTTAGTGTGAGGCCAAATGTGTACATAACTCTAGGCAATTCAATTATTATAAATTTACATAAGCTTGACTACAGATTGGACCAGTCCCTCACTATCCAGTGAAAAACTGATATAGAGACTGATAAAGAGTAGTGACAGAATTGGGGGTGGGGGTGGAGATTGAAAATGAAATGTCCGGGAAAGCTTGGTCTGCTCCCATGGGCGTGGGATAGTGTTACTTTCCAAGAAGGTCCATCTGGTGCATGAGACGGAGCAAATGACACTCTAAGGACTGATGGGTTCGTGATGCTGGGCAGTGTGTCCGTTCAGGACACAATCCAGACAGCAAGTGGGGATTTGGGGAGACAGGGCTGACAAAGGCTAAGCAGTCTGACATTCAAGGCAAGACGCCATCCTCAAGTAGGAATCTAGAGGACGGAGGGACACTGGAGGAGAGGAACACCTTGACACACCCTACGCATGGGACTGCCTAGGACCCTCCGAGGGGGCAAACACCCACCAGTTGTGAAGAGACTGGGTGTAGACCCACTTTTCACTCTTTCACTCTGCTAATCAGTCTCAGTGAGATGATTAGAGATAATTATCTGAGAGATATACAAAGATATCCGGGTACAGGTGAGACTCCCAGCTGCTTTACCTTGTTCTCCCTCCGTTCTCAGCTGCCTTAGGAGGGCACGAGGGGCTGAGACCTTGTCCTGGACAATGCATGGGACTGATGGTGTAATGTCCCCAAAGCTTATGGACAGGAGACTGCAGTGTGGTATAGTTAGTTATACAGTTCAATACCACACAGCGTTTAAATTCATGTGCTAGACCAGGAGGAGAGGGGGCGGAGCTGAGCAAATTGTAAAGCAATGCATAGTACATAATAACATTTTTACAAAGTTGAAAATATCTTTGTGTATTTATGTTTATATTTATATATTTATACATGTGTATATAGACTAACATAACGATGTATGGTCATGTAAACAACAAATTAATGATGGTATTTATCTCTGGGTTGGACAGAGGAGAAATGGGATGGAAAAAGTACACAGCCAGAGGTTTATCCATGTTGACAATACATAGTAACGTCAATTTTTAAGAAAGGTAAATGGCAATATGTTCTCAAAGCCTTTGTATTATTTTTTGCAAAACTCTGTTTTATAGCCAGCCTTCTGGTATCTCATTTTATAAAAGAAGTCATGCAGATTGCTAATCACTTGACAATAAACTTATTTTTTCCTTTCTAGAAGACTGAAGATTTTTTTTTTCCATTTGATAACTCAAAAATTTACCAAAATGTATCTAACCATGGTTCTTCCTTTACTGAATGGTGAGAAACTATTTTGGCTTGGATTCACATTTTCTTGTTTTACGGTACCAATAACAATTTAACTCAGGTTTTAAAAAATTGACACAAAATATAGTCTTCACTTTTTAAAGAATACATTGTCTCCTTAAATATTTCTACTTTTTAAAAAATGAGACATGGAAAAAACGTCAACAGTTCAATAAATATTGCTTATTTAGTTCACAACGTAACTTCCTGTTCTTTTAGGAATATTGTGTCAAATTCACCCTTCTTCTCTTTGCTTTTTCATACCTACTGTGTAGTAATGTTTTCTGCTGACAAAAGAGCCTAGGAAGTCAAGCAGTATTAATGCTCCTGCAGAGAGAACACCACCCAGGTGCCTCTCAAGTCTGTTTTTGTTTTGTTTTAAGGAACCATTATTTAGTGGAAGTTTTTAGCCCTGTCATCATGAAAGCAACAAGTCAGGAGAGTTGCTGAGTTTCTAATGATTTTGCATTTAAGGAAAAATAGAGCTACACACACAAAATCACTGAAAGTTCATAAGCAGATGTGCTGAAAATAGACTGAAAGACTTACAAAATGGTGTAGAGTTAAGGAAAGATATAAAAAAGGAATAGAAAAGATAGTACAGTAGTGATAGAAAGGTAAAGCAAGCTCAAATAATCATTGATAAAAATCCGTTTTGATGTCAATGGGCAACTGAAAGCATTCCTGCTGACATCAAAAACAAGGTGAGAATGTCCATGCAACCCTACTCTCTAACATTGTGCTGTAGGTGTCAGTCAATGAAATGAGACCAGAGATAATGACCTGAGTCCTAAAAACTGGAAATACGCAGTAGTTCTACCTATTTGCAGATGATACGAGAGTATACTTGGAAACCCCAAGAGAACTATGGCTAAACTGATGCAAGCACAAAATAATTCAATAAGGCCCCTGCTGGGGTGGCCCCGTTGGTTGGGCATTGCCCCAGGCACTGAAGGGTTACAGGTTTGATTCCCAGGCAGAGCACATGCCCTGGTTGTGGGCTCGATCCCCAATAGGGGGTGTGCAGGAGGCAGCTGATCAATGTTTCTTCCTCAGAGAGAGAGCGAGAGAGAGAGATACACGGCCCAACGGGGGCCTGAACCCACAACCTGGGTATGTGCCCTGACCGGTAATCGAACCCACAACCCTTCAGTCCACGAGACAATGCTCCAACCCACGGAGCCAACACCAGCCAGAGCTGGCTGGGCTTCTTTTTAGGGTGATGAAAATGTTCTGAAATTAGATAGTAGTGATTGTTGTACAACCTTGTGATTATGCTAAAAAACACTTAATTGCACCCTTTAAACGTGTAACTTTATGATCTATAAATGATGGTTCAATAAAGCTATTAAGAAAGTAATAACCTTCATATGTACAAATAATATCCAGTTAGAAGATGAGATGGAAGTGAAAATTCCATTTACAATAACAACAAAAATACTTGGAAAAAATTTGCAAAGTTATGTACAAAATGTATATAAGGAAACTTAAACTCTCTTGAATGATGCAATAGATTTCTATTGCACTTTCCTGGGTCTCTCTGATACTTTTGTATGTGTACCTATAAATATATAAAACCTCCATTTTGACTGCAAACAAAGTCTGGAGAATATGTACTTGTTTTCAAGATGCAAGAAATAAAATTAATTCATTAATTAAAATATTTGAAAAACAACAAAAAAGAAATGAAAACCCCTACCTTTTTATTACTTTCTAATAGACATGTTTTTATGAAAAGAAACATTATTCTAAATCTAAACTCTCCCTTGATTAGCATAGACCTCAGTATCATAAATATAATTTATTTTTGCTAATACTTTATTGTCATACTTTCAGTTTTCTAAAGAAAACCAATCGGGGTCATTTTTTGAAGAAAAGAAAGAAGTTCTGCTTGGCAATCTGGAGTTCTCTTCAGAATATTTGTTTAAAAGCTTCCTTTGCTGCAGAATGATCTCAACTGACATGCTGATGTCTCGTTTTGTGTAGTCTCACTGTTAGAAACCAAGAACAGAGACCCAGGAGGGCTTCCCATGAACTCGGAAGAGACGACCCTCCAACCTGCGAAGAAAGGTAAAATCTCATTTGTTTAGCTCTCTAAGTTGACAGACATGCCTACCTTATTATTATTTTTTTGGCACTCTATACCTTATTATTTTTTTGCACTATATGTTTCAATAAACACAGTTTCTGTAACTGCGATTTAGTAATACCAGGTCATAATACAGAACACATGTCACTGCAGAATTCCTTTTAATTTATTGTGTGGCAGGGAGAAAAATCAGTTCCATAGATTTTGCATAAATCTAAAAGTTTTTGCATTTCTGGGCTCACAGGAAATAAGAAAAATGACAAAGTACCTGAAAAATAAAACCAAATAAACAGTAAGCAAAACCCTGATTAGTGACTGCTAAGCACAGGAAAGAAGGGTTGTCTCCAAGGGCAAGTCCAGGGTGGGGTGAGGGCAAGGTGTTGAAATCGAGACTCCGGGTTAAGCCCTGATCTCTGAAAGGAGCTGAAATGGTCCTGTGTCGGTAACACCTTCTAGATCTCAGAAGAAGCCAACACACATCCTCTCTGGAGGAAAGCAAACATCCTGTTTCCACTCACGCTTTTTGCCAAAGATTAAGACCGACCAAAAATTATGAAACTAAAGGGAAACAACCCACCACAAACAAGATTAAGTAGAAACAACACTTGGATTTAGAACCCAAAGAACTAAGATGTTATAAGTATCTGTAATAAATATAAAATAATGATCTCAAAAATCTTTAAACCAGTTAAAGATGGAATCACAAAAATGAGTATGTGGAATTCAACTGTCAGCAATGTCCAGGGGGACTGTGAGGTTGTACTACAGTTTTGCAAGATGCTACGATGGGGGAAACAGGGCAAATGGTACATGGGATCTCTCTGTTTTATTTTTTCTTAATTTTTTTGAATATTATTATTATTTTGAGGCCAGAAGTGCACACTTTTCTTGAGGCCAGGAGTCCAAAATCATAGTGTCAGCAGGGCCACGCCCTCCGACGGCCCTTGGGGAGAATCTTCCCTTGCTTCTCCTAGCTTCTCTGGCAGTTGCCAGCAATCCTTGGCATTCCTTGTCTTACAGATATTTCTTGCCGGTCACATGACTGTCTTTTTCTTGTGTGTCTTTACGTTGCCTTCCCTCTGTTTGCAAGAACGCCACTCGTAGTGGATTAGGGCTCATTCCAGTTACCTCATCTTACTTTGGTTACATCTACAAAGATCCTGTTTTCAAATAAGGTCACATCATGAGTTATTGAGGGCTAGGACTTCAACATATATATATATTTTTAGGGCACACAATTCAACCCAATAACACCTTCCCACAAAATAACACTGGATCCAGCTGGTTTTACAGATTAGTTCCACAGAACATTTCAGGAACTGGTCATCCCAAGGTTACACGTCTTGTATAACTTACCCCAGTGTCTAGGAGGCCAGTGTAAGAGCGAGACCAAAATCAGATGAGAGTAGTGCAAGAATGGAAAACTAGAGGTGAACCCTTCCCGGGGACTCTTCTGGCCACATACAGCCGTGTGGGTGGATCTTAGACACTTAGTGTTGGGTGAGAAAAGCAAGTTACAGAAGCCATTTTGTAAAGTTAAAAAAACACACAACTAACAAATACATTGTTTGGGGATACATACACACATAGAAACTAGGGTGAAAAGGGTAAGGGAAAAGAAATATTAAAGACCATTGTTAAACAGACTGTGTTTTCTGACTTCAATATAATTAAATGTAAGTAAAAAAAGCAACTGAAACAGCCTGGCCGGTGTTGCTCAGCAGTTGAGCATTGACCTAGGATCCAGGAGGTCACGGTTGGATGCCCGGTCAGGGCACATGCCCGGGTGCGGGCTCGATCCCCAGCAGGAAGCATGCAGGAGGCAGCCGATCGATGACTCTCTCAACATTGATGTTTCTCTCTCTCCCTCTCCCTTCCTCTTTCTCTAAAAACTCAATAAAAATGTATTTAAAAAAATAAAATAAAACAGGGAAAACCCCTAATCAGGAACAGTGGTTCCCTCAGGGCCTGGGAGTCCGAGAGCAGTGTGCATGCAGGGCCAAGGTAAGCACAGCTATTTACCTGGTTCCGAAAGTAAGTGGTGAATTCATAAATGCTCGTTTTTGTTGTCACCGTTTAAAACCTGCAGTTATATAACTTATATTCTTTTCTCCTCTTTAAAATTCTCTTTTGAGTTTTAAAAAATACTCAATAGGCTCTGCCCCATTGCTATTCTAGAAGTCAGTGTGGTCGGGGCTGACTTAGCTCCGCCACTTGACTGGGGAGTGTTTGCTCAGATGATTACAGGGGTTTTCTTTACTTCTATAATTTAAAACCTTTTCCAGGATGTGCGTAGACATAAACAAGCGTGTTCTCAGCAATTATCCTAGCAATTTGGCTTGCAAGCATTTGGGCAGTAGCCCTGCAACCCAATTTGAAACAATTTGAAAGCACCAAACTCACTTGTTTTTGCTAAAGGCTTAAGAAAACAGGAACAGCTCTTCCCCTCCCTGCAAGGACCTAAGCGCATTCTCATTCTCAGAGGGGAAAAAGTTAGGCTTCCAGGGATGCAATGCAGACGAACTGCCAATAACACGGCCCCCTTCTCCTCCTCTCTGGCGCCGCGAAGCCCCACGCCCACCCTGGAAGAGGTCAGCGCCTGGGCCCAGTCCTTCGACAAGGTCATGCTCACCCCGGCCGGAAGGAACGCTTTCCGGGAATTCCTCCGGACAGAATTCAGTGAAGAAAATATGCTTTTCTGGATGGCCTGTGAGGAGCTGAAAAAGGAAGCGAACGAAAGCACTATTGAGGAAAAGGCAAGGACGATATATGAAGACTACATTTCTATTCTTTCTCCTAAGGAGGTATGTACCTACCGAAAGGCTGTGTCCCGAGGCCTTGGCTAAAGTAGCCCTTCAGTGTTGGGTCGCCTGCCACGGTTACAGCTACTCCAAAACACAGAAAAATCAGTCCACCTACTACTCATAGTACAGTTACCCTTGAACAACCCTGGTTTCAACTGTGCAATTTTCCCCAATAAATACAGTAGAGTACTGTAAATATATTTTTTCTTCCATGTCATTTAATAACATTTTCTTTTCTCTACCTTACTTTATTGTAAGAATATTAGTATATAATATACATACAAAATATGTGTTAATCAACTATGTTATCAGTAAGGCTTCCAGTTAATAGGAGGCTATTAGTAAAGTTTTGGGGGAGTTAAAAGTTATACCTGGATTTTCTACTGCATGGGGTCAGGGCCCCTAACCCTCGTATTGTTCAAGGATCAGCTGTATTCAAATTCCCGTGACCATGGTCCCACAAATGGGCTCCAGGGACAGCCTGAAATCTGTGAAAGATTTTATGCATTTTTCTGGAAAAAGTATTCAGAACTTCCATCAGTCTCCAGAAAGGGTAGTCTATGCATTTTACTGTTAATACTATTTTAAAATAGTATACCCTATAACCATGTCTTTAAATAAAATTATCCTTTTATTCTGAGCAAAATCTTTTTTATAAGCATCTTTATTTTATATGGTGGCACCACTAACATGATACTGATGCTTCAAAGGTTTTCCCCAGGGCATCCTTTCTTAGTATCAGAGAAGTTAGGCGTGAAATCAAGAAAGTTTTCATCTCCCAGAGTTTCTTTGTTCTTTCGACTCCAAAATCTAGGAGGTGAGGTTGGTCTCAAAACTAAGCGCCTTGTAGCTCTCATTACAAAATCATTCATTATTTCCTACTATGTGCTAAGAATATAAAGTTAATGAAACAGGGCGTCTCCTTTCAGGGAACTCATCCACAAGGGGACAGAGTGACATGAAGGACGAGCCAACACCTCAGGGTCCTAACAGGGGCCGGTGCGGTGAGCCATCTCCAGGGTGGGGCAGGAATGAGGGAGACACACTGGGAGAGGCCTGAGATGGACCAAGGATAGTAGGAAGGAAATTGCGAGAAACACAACAGATGAAGACATCCCAGAGGCTAGGACTAGATGGGCCAAGGGTAAATGTATTGAGTCCCATCTCAGTGAAAAGTGTCCATAGCTTGGTGTGGCTGAAGTGTAGCTGACCATAAAAGGGCTCCTAAGTTTCAACTTGGAACTTGTAAGCTTTGGACCTGATCCTGAGAGCATGGCAAGCCAGTGCAAGGGCTCAAGGCAGAGTGTCAGGCAGGGTTTGCACTTTAGAAAGATCCCATGGAGTGCTGCTTCGGAGAGGCACTAGATTCACATCAGGAGACCAGTTAGGTAAAGGCTGGACAAGAAATGCAGCAGTAAATCACGAGTGAACCTCCACAAGGGGGCATGGCAGAGAGGAGGGAAGAGGCGGGCAGACTCAAGAGGGGTTCAAGGGGTAGGGTCACCAGGACTCAAGAGGTGTTCAAGGGGCAGAGTCACCAGGACTTGCTTACTGAATATAGAGCCAGAGAGAAAGTGAGGGATGAGCAGGACGCAGAACTGGGTGGGAACAAATAGTTCCATTCCTTCACGGGCTGCACAGAAAAAGATCTGGAGATGCTGTTTTGAATGTATTAGGCTGGAGTTACCTGTGGCTAGGCAAAAGGGGCTTTGCAAGAGGAGGGTGGATATATGCATCTGGAAAGATAGTCACTGCCACCAATATTTAATGATTCAGCTAATCATAGTTTGAGTTTTATATTAAACAAATGTGCATTGCATAGCATTAGAACCACCCTCTGGCGCCAAGATGGTCTGCTAAGGTTCTTCACATTGAAGAGAAGAGGCGTGAGTCCATATTTGACACGTTGGCCTGTACTTTTGTCTGTCTGGTGCCCTGTGGGGAAGTCTGAGCCCAGGAGCTTGCTCTGCTCTGTGAGACAGCCTTGTCTAGGATGGGCCAGCATCAGCGCAAGAAGAGCCAACTTCCCCTCAGGACTGAATGAATTCCAAGCACTTTAAATAAATTTTCCTTAAATCTCACCAACTATCATCTCCACTTTTTGAAGTTCATTAGGGTACAGTTTACTTTGCAAAGTCCTCACAACTAGCAGGGACAGTGCAAGGGTTTAAACACAGGCCCCATGATTTGAACCCTTGACAGTGCTTCTGAGTCAGCCTCCCCTTCACTAGCCAGCCTGGTGTTCATTCCTGGGAATCTGCATTTGTGTTCTAGCAGCTACAGCCTGGGACCTCCAGGGTTTACCCTACTGCTATTAGGAAATTAGCAACGGGTAAGTCTAGGCACACTACCTTTTTCTTCAAAGGACATAGTATGTTCATTTTAAATAAGCAAAGCAATGTTGCTGTTTTCTAAAGCAGTGTGATCCCCATTAGCACGACCTCGAACTTGTGAGAAATATACATGATCAGCCCCTCCCCAGACGTATTCTTCATGGAGGACCCAACTGATGCCACTGAAGTTTGAGAACCACTGTTCATTATGCACCCACTTTTTCTTTTGGGAGCTTAGATTTTTGGATGACCTTGGTTGGTTTGGGATTTTTAAAAACTGGAACAAGCTATGGGAGTTTGGGATGGATTTCCAAAGAGAAACGTATCTAATACAACTCTTATTTGTTTCTATTGACAGGTCAGCTTAGACTCCCGAGTAAGAGAAGTCATCAACAGGAACATGGTGGAGCCATCCCAACACATATTCGATGACGCACAGCTTCAGATTTACACCTTAATGCACAGAGACTCATATCCCCGATTCATGAATTCTGCTGTCTATAAAGACTTGCTCCAGTCCTTAGCTGAGAAATCAGTTGAAGGATAGGATGTTATCAGCTGTATTTATTATTAATAAAATAATAAAAACTCATGGACTACGTCTAGTACAGGGAATTTAGAGGTAGCAGTCTGTGTCTTCTGCTGGAGTCATACTGGGCTATTTTAATAACAGATGCTTCCTTCCACAGAAGGCTATAGATTCATAATATAAATTGTAGCCACCTTTAGTGATACTTTTGAAAAAATGGGTCTGGCTGTCTTAGAAAGATAGTATATTTACATTTACAATAACAGTAGCATGTTCTGAATGGCAAAGGATACACTAGAAGGCTCCATCTGCCCAGAGCATGTCCATCCACTGGAGCACACAGGACTGCTTTCATTCTACCTGAGTTCAGTACCTGATTACTCTCTTCCAAAGAAATTCAGGTGTTTCTCAACTACTCCTTCATTCCCTCAAGCTCAGTTTTGGATATTTCACTTACCAGTGCCATTACAGGACCCAAATTCCCATTTCATAAAGATGTGACCACTTCTTGTGAAAAAATGGGGTCCTACTTCATCTTAGAATATATGTATGTAGATACATACATGTGCGTGTGTATCTGTCCATGTTAATATAAAGCACTGTGCTCTGAGTGCATCAGTGTCAGGTGCTTGGCAAGAGAATAGTGAGTAGGAAATGATTTTGTTGAAAATTTACCATTATTTTATCAGGATCTGCCAACCTAACAAATGGATTTTTAAGTTCACAACTTGGTCATGTTCATAACAAAACTTTGAAATAAGCATTTTATTATTGAAAGAAATATGGGCATTTTCACCCTAAAAAATAAAGCACAAGAGTTTTACCTCAATCTTTACTTTTTCACATGTAAATATTTGGGAAATACAAGATTAAGTAAGTAGGGATGCATGCAAGATATGTTTTAGCTCCCACACAAGGATTTTGTTTTTATTTTTTTAATATATCTTTATTGATTTCAGAGAGAGGAAGGGGGAGGGAGAGACAGAAATGATGAGACCAATGATGAGAGAGTCATTGATCAGCTGCCTCCTACACACCCCCTGCTGGGGATGGAGCCTGCAACCCAGGCATGTGCCCTGACTGAAATCGAACTTCAGTCTCCTGGATCCTAGGTTGATCAATGCTCAACCACTGAGCCACACCCAGCCGGGCAGAGGATTTTGTTTTGAAATTCCACTATTTTTATGATAGGCAAATGAAATAACTTCATAGCTTACTGGTAAAAATACTGCTTTGTAGACCTAAACATCCCGAAGAAGCTCATCACTACAATGAATGGGAAAGACATCTAAAACGAGGTGACCATGAAAGACACCCAAAGCTGGAATGGTTTGAGTAGTGGGTTAAGAAATTAATTTGCAAGAGCCCACAGCATGCTTCAGCCCTCAATGGAATACTCTGCTCTTTTTTTAAAAAAATATTTTTACTGATTTCTTTTTTAGAGAGAGAGGAAGGGAGAGGGAGAAACATCGATGGGAGAGCGTAGCATCCACTGGCTACCTCTGCACGCCCCCTGCTGGGGATTCAGCCCACAACCCCGGCATGTGTCCTGACCGGGAATCCAACCGGCAACCCTCCCGTGCATGCGACGATGCCCAACGAAGTGAGCCACGCCAGCCAGGGCATGGGACGCTCTTCCCTTGGTCATCTCCCTCACCTGGCTCTTCAGCCTGATGATTTCTGAGTTACTCTGTTCAAATCCCAAACCTAAGTCCATCTTACCTCCTACTCTATGACAGTTGTGTCCCTAACCCCCTCAACTTCCTGTGTAGCCTGTAAATATGTATAGATCAGCGTCTATTCCTGCCTCACTCAGTCCTTTCTCAGAGAATAGTATGTTTCCCCTCCTTTTCAAGGCATCAACCCCTTACATGTGCTTTTGATTCCAGATCCAGGAGTCTCATATTTTTCATTAGACAAAGGGGCCATGATTGTGATTAAGGCATAAACCCTGCCCTCTGGTAGTTTTCATTCCGGTAAGGATGACAGGTGGGTCCATGGCAGCCACAATAAACTGTAGCAAGTAGTGTAGCCATGAGGAACTGGGCTACGGGATGCATGGCGCATGACTATGTCTGGCTTAGAGCAGCGTTCAACACACGTAGAACCGAACCGAGAGTTTTCACACGAAAACTGAACTTCCCATAGCTATAAATTAAAAATCCCATTTCAAATTTGTTTTACAATGTGTCACATCTCAGAAAGATATCACAGCCCATGCGACTATAGAACTCACTGTTACTACAGACCAATTCAGTGGATAAACCTGTAGGGCCATCTATGTATATGAATAAATCCTAAAGTCACTCCCAAAGTATCCTACAAATTCAATGCAATTCCAAGATTTTTTGTAAATTTAAAAGTAAAATTTGTCAAGCTGATTTTGTCAGGTTGCATAGCTCTCCATTTGGAAAAATGTGTATATAAACAAATACAAATTCCAAAAGATTTAAAGATCTAAAAGCCTTTTTAAAAGAACATTATAAGAATATTGGAAGAAAATCTAGGCAATGTTTTTATAACCTGAGGTTAAAAGGTCCTCCTAAACTAAACATAAAATTTAGAAACCATAAAATACTGATAAATTGGGTATTTTTAAAATTTTAATTCTGTGCCACAAAAGAAAACATAAAAGTAATTAAAACACAAATATTAGGCTATAAAAGACTAAAGATTACTAGGCAGAATGCATTAGAAGTGCCTAAAAGTTAATAAGAAAGACAAATAACCCTATAGACAAAAAAGTAAGTAAGAAGAATTGGTTAAGAAGCAAGAAAAGCCCAACCGGCATGGCTCAGCNTATTAGCAAAGGGTCAGGAAATGGGCATTCATGCTCTGTTGACGGGTGGGTGAACAAACTATCACTTTTTTGGAAAGCGATCTGGCAATACCTGTCCTTCTCAGTGTGCATATCCACTAGCTGAGCAGTTAAACGTCTAAGACACTCACCTAGAAAACATCAGAACAAAATACCCACGGTGAGTATTTTAAAAGAGAGTGTTACAGATGCACAGATCGCTGTGTGGTGAAAGTGAATGTGATGCATCTACATGCGTCGGCGGGCAGTGTCTAAGGTAAGCCGCTGAATTAAAAAAGCAAGTTGTAGGATTTGTATAACGCGCACCCATTTGTAGCGGTGATAACGATCGTTCCAAAAAACCCTCTCACTCACTGAGCTGGGTAGTATCCTGAGGTCTTTAGTCTTTACCCACAACCCTGGAAGGCAGGATGGTGTTGCTCCTTACAGATGAGGCAGAGGCAGAGCACCTCGGTCCAAGTCCCACGGCTAGTCTGTCGTCTACGACGTGAGTCTGAGCAGATCCAAAGCCCATGCTCTTAACCACTCTGAGTGCCCATTTCCTACCAAGGGCTCAGTAGTCCGGTACGAGCACACACAAACAACTCATGGAAAACAGCAATTACAGAGCCAGGAAGGTCATTTTCTCTAGGTCATGATGTTGACCTAAAAGACAAAGGTAATAATAAAACCGGTTTCACAGGTTGGTTGTTAAGAATGGCTTTCGACCAATCCTCTGTGCTCTCAGAACTTGTGAAGGTGAACATAAAACAACCACGTAAACATTTATGTAAAATTGGCCTTCGGATGCGTATAAAGAGACTGCTGTCTTACACAAGTCAAAGTGAGGTGGTGGTGGCGTTTTGTTACTGATTTTGGAGCTACATCATCTAAGCTTTCTTTCCTGACACGTACATAATCAAAATTTTCTACTTTGAATCATCTGAAGTATAGCGGTCACCAAGCAGGGTTTTTTGAGTAATGCCAACTTAATCTCATGGAAGATGAAATTGCAGCCTTGACATTTTAATCTATCCATTAAATTAACTGTCCCAGAGAAACATTCTGGAGAGAATCAAAATATTAACTAAAGGAAAAGCAAGCGTTAAAACTTCATTAGCCTAAGAATGGGAAGTCTAAAAAAATTAAATATAGAAAGTTCTAAAAATGCATAGTAAGGTGACTATAGTTATACTTCACTGTATATTTGAAAGTTGTTAAGAGTAGATCTTGAAAGTTCCCATCTCAAGAAAAAAAAATAAACTTGGAACTATGTGTGGTGATGGATGCTAACTAAACTTATTGAGACAATCATTTCACAATATACACATATATCAAATCATAATCTTGGACCCCTAGCTTTAATAAAATGTTATGTCAATTACATCTCAATTTTAAAAGTTTCTAATGGGAAGATGATTAACAAGCATTTGGTCTATGAATATGTTTTGATGAATTTAAAAATGAGGGTTAGGACTGCAATTAAGGGGGTGGGGGAAGATGGACAGATCAGTGAAATAATCCTGAGAGAAGTCAGTCTGATACTGACCTATGACTTAAATGCTCCTTCCAGATCACTTATGCTTCTGCAATTAACTGGAAATATTCGTATTGCTTTCACAGGTTTTAATGTTCTGACATCAGTATTTTTATTTAAAAATCATTATACATTTAACTCAAATATTCATCCAAAACTATTTAGGATTAAAACTGTTTTTTTCAGTTGCTTGTTACAGAAATCTACTTCAAACTAGCTAAACACAAAGGAAATTGGTTGGCTTTCGTTGACAGTAAGTCCGAGGGTAGTTCTAACTTCTGCAAGGCTGGATCCAGTCATTCGATGTTATCAAAACTTTCTCAGCTTTCCAAGACTTCAACACACACAGAGGGTCTCTGAATATTGTAGGCAAAACAGTACAGCCGGATCGATGCAGCTCCTGCTGGCTTAGCTATTCCAGTAAAAATAGTTTCTCCCATATTTCATACAGTAATCCCAGGGAAGGAGCATGGGTGGGTGGGATGCTGTGAACGAGAGACCATCCAGGGCCACGTGGAGGTGAGAAGTATGCTGCAAATGAACCAGAAAACACGCTTGGGAAGTAGTGCCCAAAGGGCAAAAGGTGCCATTCTAATCCAGTGCTCCTGTGTTGTGAGTTTTTTCTTTTCTTTTTTTAAAAATACTATCAGCTATGCTTTCAAATGGATTACAAAAATATCTTGGCTACATATTGTAAACCATATTTAAGGGTTAAAAAAAAAAAGCGTTTTATCTCAAAGCAGCTCAGTTACTGCATTATGAAAACACCAGGGCAAGTTTAACTGGACTGTACGGCGTATCACATATGAAATGTTTCTATATTTGCAGTCATGGCTATTAAAGGAAAAAAAAATTAGCTGTTTTTGTATAGCACCCGGGGAGAGGAATCAGAACATGGTAAGTCATTTGAGGAGTCATCTATGCTTTCATTTTCCACCACCAGTTGGATAAACAAGTACAAGAGTAACACTGGTTGATTTGAAAAACTACTTTTCAATTAAAAATAAAACTGTTGCATCACTTGAAGTACCAAAAGAGATCCCTCAAGACTCCAGCTCATTACACTTCCTCCTTTAGAGTCTAAATCATTGCCAATAAGTATTTATCTAGCCTTCCTGTGCAGGTCTTCTGCCAATGGAACTTTTTTTTTTTTAATGTTATTTATTTTTTAGAGAGAGGGAGAGGGATAGAAACATCAATGAGAGAAACATCAACATCAATTGGCTGCCTCCTGCACGCCCCCTGCTGGAGATCGAGCCCAAAACCCAGGCATGTGCCCTGACCGGGAACTGAACCGTGACCTCTGGGTGTATGGGCCAACGCTCAAGCACTGAACAACACTGGCAGGGCTACGGAACATTCTTTACATCTCAGCTCCAGCACAGTAAGGAAAAAATGTAATGCATTGACACAAACACATCCAAGAAAACCTATTTCGTGAGTACCTACTATGTGTCAAGCGCTCTTCTAGGTGGTAAAGATGTAGTAGCAGTGACAAGTTTTCCATAAAAACTTACCAACTCCATCTTTACTAAGTTACAGCTATGATTAATTTTTCCAATATACTTCTCTATTACTTTTGACTGCTTTCAATTTACTTAAGCTTTCCTTCAACATAATTCTTCCATTACTACCTAGAAAGTTGTAACTCTGTTCTGTTTACTGTGAAACAGCATCTTCAATGCTGGTACTTTGTTTTTATTTATGTATTTATTTATTATTTATTTATAAACTGACAGAAATACGTGAATTTTATCTCAGTGATTATTCACATCACATTTCCCAGTGGAATATTCTTCTTGAATAGCTAATTTTCTACAGTTAAATGTGTTGCAGAGGTTGGAGGGGATAATTGATTAAAACCCTTTAAAATCACAAATCATAACTTTAGTTTTTGAGAAATTCAGTTCAAATCCCAAAATTTCACTTTGGCCTATAAGGAGAATCATTGTATGCAATCATAAGTATATAAAAGTGGAAAGCACAGCCTGATTATTTCTTTTTCTGTCTTGTTAATACTTTAAAACCTTCAATTTGTAATGTATATACAGATTTCAACATTTGGGTGTATATAAGTATTTCAGAACTTTTGCTATGGTTTAACAAAACTTATAAACCAATGCTCATCACCTCTCAGGTGAGCAAAAAACCCAAGGTGGTTATTTTCTGATTTCCCAGGAGGTTCTTCATTAATTGCCACAGTTGCATAACTTAATTCCTCTGTATGTTCATTTAACAGTTACTCCATCCTGGAAATAAATATTATCAAATATTACCCTTGATAACTTTTACTTCTAGTTACTTTATAACTGGCTAGTCTTTTCCAATAGTAAGACTCACTATTTGGTCTCTCACATTAAGTGCACACATGGGATGTGCTCAAATGTTCTACTCAGAACCACCCCTGCATCTCACCAGGGGTTCAGAAAAAGAGAAGAGAAGCATCCTCTATACTACTGGTCAACCCTTGTTTTTACTTAAAACCAGCAGAAATCATTTCATTAAAGGTGTACTTTAAGAATACCTTATAACCCGGCCGGGCGTGGCTCAGCCGTTGAGCGTTGACCTGGGATCCAGGCAATCGGTTCGATTCCCAGTCAGGGCACATGCCCAGGTTGCTGGCTTGATCCCCAGTCAGGGGCATGCAGGAGGTGGCCGATCAATGACTCTCATCATTGATGTTTCTCTCTCTCTCTCCCTCTCCTGTCCTCTCTCTGAAATCAATAAAGATATATTAAAAAAAAAAAGAATACCTTATAGTTGGGAGAGGGGAACTTTTTAAACAAAAGGAAAAAAAGTAAGCTTCAATGTTAAATAAAATGACAAAATGTGATACAATTTAATAACAAGAAACTTTATTGAATTACAAATTTTAAAATGCATCACTTAATTTAAAAGTGAAACTATTTTAATTTTATTCTTCTTAAAACTCATTTTTTCAAAAATGCACTTTTTTTTTTCAAATGATAAGACAAAAGGTTAAACTGTGAACTGACAAAGTAACGATGGAATGATACCAGGGGCCAATTTTTATATATGGGGTCTTAATAAGGACCTTTAATAAATGTTGTCTTCTGTATTACATCAAATAGATTTCCAACAAGAAATGAGAAAATGGGAGCAAAGGGGAGTGAAAGCATGTACTGAGGTCTTTCTGTAGGTGTTTGATAGAATACAGATTTAGCATGATAAATTGTGGACTTTGTAACAGTGGCCTTTAAGATATGCTAGAGCAAGCATATCTTAAGGAACCTATGTGAAAATCAATTTTTCTTATTCCTAAAAGAATCAGTGGTACACACTTAAACAAAAAGTAAAACTTAATTGTAACACCTATACTGTAAAATGGGTTGCATTATAGCCCATATGTTTAGTTTGTTCAACAACCTCATTAATTGTATAACAGAAAAAGTCAGCTTATTAGACTCAGGACAAAATATTTTCCATCAACCTCAATATGGGAAGATTTATATAATCCTTAAACTTAATCCTTGGCCAGTACAGATTTCCCAATCAAAATCAAGTCATGAACTATTTATAATAACTATACTATACTAAAATGCTAACATTTCCTTCCGAGTATGTCTTCCTATGAGGGGAAAATAATTAGATACTTTCATTCTTTGCCTGTGCTGGGATTTATGAAAAGCCTACTAAACTAAACAGTGTTCTGCAAAACTAAAATACTATAAAGTCAAAAAGGTAAATAAACAACAAAACCAAATTGATTCCAACAAAGTCAAGTCATGTTTCCAAAAGTAAAATCTATTAAGGAGAAGTAATAAACACGTACAAGAAATTACAAGAAATGATGATGAGGGTTACAAATGCAAAATAATATCTAATTATCCCAGGCTTGTGAATATAATAATTAAAAACAATTTCATTTCCTAGTTCAAATATTATGTACAATTTAGATAAGCTGGTCAAGTATACACCACATTTAATAAACTTATAATTATATTACCTCTCTCCTCCTTTAATATTTGCAGGTACAGGCCAATAAGGAAAAAAATGTAATTTTCATTTATGTATTAACTGAGAAGAATAACACTTCTACTGTGTTTGTTTCAGACTGAAAAAAGGTAATTTTCCTTCAAGAAGAAAAAAAGGTAAAAATAAATTGCCAAAAGTTTAATATCAATTACTTATAAAAATGGAAAAAAAAAATTGGAATAGATACCATACAATTATTATGTAGTCTCCCTACTGATCTGAAACTACAGAAGGCATTTATGGAAGGTCGCTATGTCAAAAACAAAGACTAACCCAAGGGATGCATGTTCTTTAAAAATCTGATTTGCAGAAAAACTAGTTCCTTGGCGTAGTTTTAAAGCTAGTTACAAAATCCATTTTCTCAATGGTCCAGACGTTTTGCCAATACTTCTGATTCAACAGAACTGTCAAAAAAAGAAGAAATATTTTGTGAGACTTTTAAATACAGACAACAGGGTGTATCCTTTCCCCCATTTAACACAGCATACACTTTATATTGCTAAGAAAGAGGCATTTTGTTAAAAAGATGCTGTATTTTTCAGATATAAATAATCACCTACCTTAAGTGTTTGACTTCTCCAACTTAGAATTAGTAAGAATATATAACTAAAGAAATAATATAAAATTTTTTTAAACCAGGAACCTCTCCTTTAGACACAGACAACAGCATGGTGGCTACCAGAGAAGGGTAACCTTCTCTGGAGGAGGGGGAAGAGGGCACAGCGAGTCAAACACATGATGGCAGAGGAGACTAGGCTTTGGGTGGTGAGCACACAATGCGATATACAGATGATGTATTATATATTATAGAAATGTACACCTGAAAGTGATATAATATCATTAACCAACGTTATACCGGTACATTTAATTTTTAAAATAATAAAAAGATCTCTCTTCTTAATGTTTTCAGTTAAAAAAAAATCCAAATTTGAACTTCTAGAGTAAGCCATGCTAGGCATCAGCTTTCTACATTAAAATGAACTTTCTTAAATCCAATAGGTATTATGTCAGAACTTATGCTGCAAACTGCCTGTATTCAAAATAGTTATACACACAATACTACTAATAATAATAAAGTTAATAATCCATCATGCGAAACAAATCTAAGAGAGCTATCTGGAAAAGCCAGATTTGCTCAATAGGATTGGAAAAAGAAGAGTGAATATTCCTCTTAGACCAATGTGAAATCTTCTGCCAGCTCAGGACAGGAGGCACTATTTCAAACCATGAAGACACTCTCAATACCAGAAATTTTCCAAGCTCAGAACTAAGTCTTTATATACAATAAAACAGGTACTGGTCTCAACCCCTAAAATAGTGTCGAGGGCCAAAGTTCCATACCATATTTGTGGAGGACATGCCCCCATTGTCTGACTTTTAATTCACTTCTGATTTTCAGAAAATGCTTTGACCTATGTGAGTAGTTCAAAGTAAACATCAAACCTAAACATCTATGTAGTGTAACTAAAAAAAGAATCTTGCACCAACTTCACAAAAATGAATAAAAGTCAGCATTTTTGGAACACCAATAATTATCAGGCACTTTAAATATATTACCACTACTTCTCGCCACAACCTGTAATGTAGGTATTATTTGCATTTGATACATGATAAAATTAGGGTTCAGTAAGGGTAAGGGGCAAAGGAGCTAAAAACCCATCTGGCCCCAAAGACTATATTCCTACTATGTGAGCCTCCCCAACCCCCACCCTAACATCCCCATATCTGTAACAATAAGAGCGAGCTTAGGAGGATATGTAATCCTTCTCTCAATTTTAAATTATACTACCACGGCTCACAAAAATCACTCAAACATGAACCATTTAAGTAATATAAACTTGCTTGTGTGGGGCTAATTCAAGACTTTACAGGCAATCTGACGGCTTAGTGAAAAGCCTACCAGACCATAACAGTGTTAATCTATCATTTCTAAAATAACACTAACACCATTACACTGGATTTCAACTAAGTAATTTTTCCAGAAACAAAATCTATGAAGAGAAGTAATTACATATGAGCAGATTTTCTGGAAGGAAAAGAGTCAAAGCAACTGAATGTGCATGGTATATATAGGACTGTGATACAATTATCAAACATAAGATTCAATCCTGTTATTCCTGCACCAAAATAATATGAAGGAAGGAAAGTTAACATTCTTTATTTCTAACATAGTACAAAGTAGTATATTCCATTACAAATGATTAGTCATAGACTCCCACACTACTAAACAGTGTGAGCATATATATATATACCTAGGTATCTAGATAGGCTTATGAAAAGACCTGAAGAAATCATTCTATTATAAATAGTAAAATATGAATCCAAGAAGGTGCCATACCTTCCATCGATTTCCACATTCATTGCATACAACAAATGTTGTCATCGGTTCATCAGCACTACGAGTTTGTACCTGCAACAAAATCAAGTGAAAAATATTACTTTTTATAATACTATAAAAAGTCCAACCTAAATAAGAACATTCTACATGAAAGTATATAACCACAATGGTGCCATAATAAAATATATAACAGCATGAAACAAGTTCAAATAAAGCTAATGTCAGAAGAACACACATTTCCAAACTTCATTTTTGTAAGTCCTTCCTTCTTTGTCTTTTCATGTTTAATTTATCCCAGTAAGTGGGAAATCATCTAATGTCACACCTTATACTTTTTATAAACAACAAATATGAAAAAATTTAATCATCACGAAGCACAGAAATGTTAAAAGATGTCAATTTTCTCTTACAAATTAGCAAAGATGAAAATTAAGCATATTTCATTCTGACAAATATAACTGCAACAAGGTAAGAGTCTTAAATATCCATTTCCTATGACCTAGAAACTTGATATCTTATCTATTCCAAGATGGCAATTAGAAATACAAAATCTGTGTATAGCTCAACATCACTAATGATCAGAAAAATGAAAATCAAAACCATAATGAGCCCAGCTGGTGTAGCTCAGCAGCTGAGCATGGACATATGATCCAGGAAATCAAGGTTTGATTCCCGGTCAGGGCACATGCCCAGGTTGCAGGCTTGATCCCCAGTGGGGGGCATGCAGGAGGCAGCATATCATTGACGACTCTTTCATCATTGATGTTTCTATTTCTCCCTCTCCCTTCTTCTCTGAAATCAATAAAAATACATTTTTAAGAAAACCCACAATGAAATGTCACTTCACACCTGTCAGAATGGCTGTTATCAAAGACAAGGGACAACAAATGTTAATGAGAATGTGAGGAAAAGGGAACCCTTGCACACTGCTGGTCAGAATGTAAATTGGTAAAGCCATTATGACAAACAGTATGGAGGTTCCTCAAAAAAATTGAAAATAAAAACAAAAAAGCTGTGGTACATTTACACAATGCAATACTACTCAGCTGTAAAAAACGAAAATTAAAAATTGAACTACTATATAATCCAGCAATCCTGCTTCTGGGTATTTATCTAAAGAAAATGAAATCAGTATATCAAAAAGATGTCTGCACACCCATGTTCACTGCAGTATTCATAATAGCCAGGAAATGGAAACAACCTAAATGTTCTTCAACAAATGAATGGATAAAGAAAAGTGGCATATATATATATATGTATGTATATGTATATGTATGTGTGTGTGTGTGTGTGTATATATATATATATATATATACACATGTACACACAATGGAATTTTATTCAGCCATAAAAAAAGGAAATCCTGCCATCTGAGACAACACGGATGAATCTGGAGGCATTAGGCTAAGTGAAATACGCCATGGGTACACAGACAATGGTACCTTCATGAACTCTATCTGGCCAAGGTCACCCACGTGGACCTCTGAGGGTATTGGATGGTTGAGCAGGATGACCTGTTTGTGACAGGTCATAATGCCTGCTATGATCACATGATGCAACAATCTCACTTCTGAATATATCTACCCAAAAGTATTGAAAGTAATGTCTCAAAGATGCTATTTGTACACTCAAGCTCATAGCAGTGTCATTCACAATACCCCCAAAAGTGGAAGCAACCCAATGTCCATCAATAGATGAATGGATAAGTAATACAGATACTGTGTAACTCCACTTATCCATATGACTAACTAGAATAGTCAAATTCAGGAACTAGTGGTTGCCAGGAGCTGGAGAAAAAGGGGAATGGGGAATTGTTGTTTAATGAATATAGAGACTCCATTTTGCAAGAGGAAGAGTTCTGGAGACTGGCACATTATAAATGTACTAATAAATTGTATATTTAAAAGTGATAAAGGTGGTAAATTTTAAGTTATGTGTATTTTACAATTAAAAATTTTAAAAAATTAAAGAGAACTCAGCAAAAATAAATAAATAAGCTATTATGATTTTTTAAGATTTTATCTACACGAGATCATAGATTTCTGATGTTACTGGAACCAAAGGTTTCAAAAACAGAAAGTTTATTTCTTTAAAGTATACACTCCTGAATGAATTTGACAACACATTATTAAAGTTAAAAGTTATTCTTTGGTTTAATTAAGTTATGAGGAAGAGGAAGATGGGTGGGGGCAAGAACCTAAATTCTAACAATTACTGCATTTTGAATAAAGTATATATCAGATATACAACTATGACTAAATTAAACACTTCAAAAAGGTAAAAGACTTTAGATTGGTTAAAAAAGTATATCTGAAAATAAAGTAGGCACCTTTAAAAAGTGGCAGAAGCTTATAAACTATGCTACCAATGTGTCTAGAAAAGTGCAAAAAAACCCCAACCATTTATGTTTGCAAATATATACATAAAACATGTAGAAAGCCACACAACAAACTAGTCATCCTAGGAGGAATTTTACACTCATGATTAAACTTTTGTACCTTTTGGATTTTTAATGTTGCAAATATAGTACTTTTATACATAAAAAAGTAAAGGTTCTTTCCTACAACTTGTATAGAGCTTAGAAATGTTTTTTCGTTAAACTTTTTAAAATGTATTTTTATTGATTTTCAGAGAGAGAGGAAAGGAGAGGGAGAGAGAGAGAAACATCAGTGATGAGAAAGAAACACTGATAGGCTGCCTCCTGCATGTCCCCTACTAGGGACTGAGCCCAAAACCAGGCATGTGCCCTGACTGGGAATCAAAAAAGTGACCTCTTGGTTCATGGGTTGACGCTCAACCACTGAGAACACTGGCCAAGCGAGTTATGTTATTTTTTAAGTGCTTAATTTTCTGTTAAGTAGAAAATTAAATTCCCTAAATATCTCTATTAACCTGAAACACAATAGTAAGTTATTCCTTCAGGGGAAAATTCTGATTTAGCAGAGTATAGATACAAATGAAATTAGTGAGTGATAAAACACCATTTTCACATATGCACATATAACTAAAATAACTGTAACACGGCTCTTTTAAGCTGTTCAAGAACAAAAAGGAAGGTTAGTCACATCATATATGAATATAAAGGTCATCAATATGTTACAAAAAAGGAATAAACATTTCGAAGCCAGTTAAGCTAAAAGTAACCACACTCTATGTGAGGAATAACAAAGAACTTTCTTTAAATTCTAAGAGCTTGCCAAGTAAAAAGAATGATAACCTGTTTACGTAAGAACCAATAATCAACTGCGTATTAAACTTAGAGAAAATCATAGCCATTTTACTAAATTCTATATTATAAATTTTGCTTAACTGATATAGCTTTCACAGTAACAATTTCCATGAAAGTATAAACAGATCAACTTATTCACAATTAACTGGAATCTGTTAGTTTTAAGAAAGTATTCTTACACTTAAGAGATCACATTTCCTCTTGAAAAATATCAGAGTATACTGGTCATTATCATTATTACTACTTGTTTTGAAACAGAAATTGCAAGCATTTTTAACATAAAAATAAAAATCTACAAGCAAGCACAAACCTGTGTGTAAGTACAATTCTTCTTTTTACATTTGCCACAAGTGAATAAGTCAGTCTGGGTTCCTCCCGTCTTGGCCATCTGATGCTCTCTGATGGCTTCTTTGGTCAAGTTTTTCCGCATCTCTTTGAGCTCATCACTAGCCATTTCCTGTTAGGAAGGTGGCATAATACTCAGTTATGGGTGTCTTCTAATATATCTTGAATGCTTTTTATGCTCAATTAGCTTAATAATAATAGAAACAAAATCAACTTTTAAAGCCCCCACTGGCAGTTACTAGGACATCAACTCTTCATTCTGATAACTGTTAACTAAAGGGAAAGAATTACACATTTACCCTGCCTTTCCTACCCAAACCAACAGAGTAAAGCCTAAGTTTATAAGGGACAGTGCTTCTTTATCAAAGAAATCTAGCTAATAAATGTAAAAGAAGATGAAAGAACTTTAGAAACCACTATTTCGCAATTCCTAATAAAACCACCAATTCAGGCAAGGATCATCAGTGGATGGATAACACATTAGATGAAAAGGCAAAGAACTTTACAAATGGAGGAACAGATTGTCAGTACCCAAATTCATTGATGAATCTCATAATGAATGCTAAGAGCAGAGCAACGAGAAATTATGTGTCTCCTGATGTGATACAATATGAAGTAAAAAGCACCACTTATGAAGTATTTATGCAGGAAAAAAAGTTCAACTCGTATGTAGTCAAGCCTATAGAACTAGCTTCCAGGTTAACAGAAAATGGGACAGAAAAGTTAAATAACTTCATGAGGAAAAACAGACAATTCATACTGTGGGATACAGAAGAAATAAACTGGTTTCTTCAACATGTCAGTGTCATGAAGAAAAAAGCAGGCGTAGGGGTAGAAGAAATTTTCAGTACACACACACACGCGCGCGCGCGCGCGCACAATCATAAACTAAAGGTAATGTGTAGACTTTGGATCCTGATACAAAATAAATGTACAACCAGAAAAAAAGGTTATTAACTAGACATTAGATAATACCAAAGAATTATCAATAGCTTTGTTGTAAGTGGTGATGACATTATGTAAGAAAAATATATTTTTAAAGATACCTCTCAAGTATATAGAGGTAAAAGAACATGTCTGAGATTTGCTTGAAAATAATTCATGAGAAAAGAAGAAAGAAGAAAAAAGGAAAAAGGAAAAAGGGTAGATGAAAGGGCACAAATTCTTGAAATACTTGAAGCCTGAGTGACAGATATATGGGATTTCATTACACTATGTCCTCTATTTTGTCAAAGTTTAAAGTAATTTTTAATGAGTTTTTCAAAAAATGAATTTTAAAAATAAAGCAGTTTTTATTAGCTATATAGAAAGAAGAATTCACTCTCTTGGATACTTAAGAAAATAATGAGACTGTAGACACGCTACAGCTATTATCTATTATCTATGAATAGCTATGTCTATAAACAGCCAGCTATGAATTTCTTTTTTCCCATCATTCTCTATAAATTTAAAGAAGTCAGTAAGATGTGATCAATTTTATAGGGTTTAACCATAGAAAAAGCTTAGAGATTTCGAAGTCAGTTTGCAATTAGAAATTCAATTCTTCGATTTTACATGAATCCATAAGTTAAATCAATTTTGTTTTCATACAATGATTTATGGGAAAATCATATGGGAGGGACAAAGTTCTGATGCCAAAAGATTCAATGTCCTTAAGTAATTGTGTAGTATATTGTATAAACAAATACATCAGGATAGCTAATAATAGTTTATTATATATGTAGTATTTAGATAGCACTTTATGATTTAAACAGACTTTACACTTGACATCACGGAATCACATCATGGAAATGTTGTATTCAGATATACTCACCTCTGCCGTCATTCTAGCAAATAAGTCAGGGGGAATATTCCCACACAGTACATTTTTCCTTAAATTTGGATTCTTTGCATCCTTAAGATTTGATATTCTACTTCGTACTCTATTTTTGTATTTCATGTCTGTATTCCTTATTTCTTGATATATAGGTATAGACCATTAAGGAAAAAAGGTTAAATTATAAAGGTAAAATTAATTTTTCTATTGTCAAAATTAGAATTTCTTCAGTTTCTAAGCAACTCACAAAAACGGTTGCAAATTTATATTAACAACAAGGCTCTGTTTCTACCAGGTTCCTTGATTTGTAACTGGCAAATAATAGTGATTATACTTTTAGGATGTGAACGAACAGTGCTTTCTTCTTAATGTTTAATGCCAGAAGCACACAAATTAAAATGGTTTCAAAAAGAAACTCAGGCACTCAATCTTAGTTAGAAAACGTTTGAAAAAGAGCTTGAACTTATTATACAAGCTTTAACTTGCCCAAATCTGAATTTTACCAAGAAGGATCCTAAAAGTCTCAAGCACTACAGTTCCCTTGAGGATCATATGAGAAAAGACCATTTATGGTGGCCCCGAAGGTTCATTTCCTCCCCCAGCTCAGCAAAAAGCTAGGTTAGCAGATTCTTCACAAAGGAATAGGCCACAGCAGAGGCTGAGCCCTTGAGGAGGTCCCTCTCTTACAAGGCTATTTCCTCACCATCACACTGTCACCTAAATGTGCCCTGCTCCCCGTACCTACATGTAAAGCCCCTCTCCCAGAGCCCTTTCCACGGTGCCCCCTCCCCGGGATGAGCTCAGAAGACTGTGTATGCTTTGCTCAGTTTCCCCCAAGTGTGAAATCCTATTTCACACTTACTAGTATGTGTTTTCCATGCTCTTTTGCAGAACTTCAATTGAGATGCTACATTCTCATTTGAATGGGAAAAGAATAAAAATACTATGAATGCCATGTCCTTACTTTTGAATGTCAAGAGGGAAAGAATAAAAAGGGCATGGATGACCCTCTCCTTTGCCATCAGAACAATACAATCAAGATGGAAACTGAAGAATACAAATAAAATAGAACAGATTTATACAGAAAGAAAAATTTGTAATTAATCTGGCAGATTACTTAAAACAATTATGCACATAGACACAAAGGATATCTTCTTCAATTTGAGATCCTAATTCTTCCTCATCAGCTCCAATAGCGATGTAGTCATCTAAACAAAGACACAAAGAATTATCAAGAATAAGTGACTGTAACATATTTAAAAAAAATCAATAGAGTAAATTAAACTGCATTCCTATTTCTTCAACCCCATTTGCCTTCCATAAAGAATCCTTTCAGCTTAGTTTCATTAGAATCTGGTCTCTTTACCACCCGCTGGACTCCTCCTCTGCATTCACCTAATGTCCAGTGCTCTTCATCCCTCAGGAATGGGGAAGCAAGTGACTAGAGGTAATTCCTCACTTCACAACGCCATACAGCCTGGCTGGCTCCAGCAGAGAGTAGGAAAAGTTATAGAAAGAACTGTCTTGTGTCCTGTGATTCAGGCTTCAATGCAAAGAAACCATTCATTGCATCTGCCTAGTACATGTATGGGCACAGGCAGAAGAATCCTATGCAAATATTAAAAAGAATAGGAGGAAATAAAAAGAAAAAAGAAAAATATATAAAAAGATAGTAAGGGAATCAAAGTAGAAAGGGGAGAATAAAGAGAAAAGTAGATCAACTAACTATGCGTCAGTATAAGAGAAAAAAATGAATTTCTTTAAGATGATAAGTAAATAATCTTGTATATGACATTTTAAAGCCAAATTTTTTCATAATAAAAAAATACCTTCAAACTAGTTTAGCTCCCATATAAATCAAGATCTCATTTCCTTTTTTAAAAAAGTAGAAAATAAAATTATGGATATAAAACTTACATACTATATGTCACACTAACATTTAACAATGGCACAGAAATACAGTATTGTTAACTGTCTATAGGGAGATGGGGAGGGAAGAATATTTGTGAAAAAAGGTTTAAATTACTATAAGTTGGGAAACATCTATATATTAGAAAGAATCTATTTCTTGGAATTATAAAGTAATAAGCAGAGGCCTCAGTATGCCTATACCTCCCCGCCTTTAGTAACTCCACCTAACAACAACTACTCCCTGAGCTAAGCAGTGTGGTCAGCTATCAATGGGATGCCACTGGTAAAACAGAAATATCCACGTGGCATTGGTAGTGGTGATGACCAAAGGACTGAGCACTGAAATAACATACACTAAACTTACCTCCTGTTCGAAGAGCTGCGGCAAGCATCTCCCTACACTTTAACCGTACAGAATCAGAAGTGCTTGGTGCCCGAGGAAAAGATGACACGTAAGTATCTCGAGCATTCGTCTCATCCTTTCTGCTGCTTACACTGCCACTGGAGCTACTAAAATGCACATACACACACACCAAAAATAAATGAACTATATACATATACACACACACACACACATACACACGTCAGGGAAAACTCAAAGTAACATCATTACTATCACTCACCAAAAACAAAATTTTTTGGCCTAAATAAGTGAGACAGTGACTCTTACATTTAAAAAAATTGTCTATGTATCAATTAAAAAGTTGAAATTTTAGGAAAGGTAAGTCTCGTGTCTTTTTTTAAACCAACTAAGCATTTTATCTGGATTCTCCTTTTAAAAATTAAGCAATATTTTACTATAGAAGACACACATCACAGCTCAATAAAATAAATGAGAAACAAAGCTCTTGGTTATGAGAAAAGGGGTGAAGGGATGGCAACTGGGAACATGACAGCACTCAAACAAAAAAAAGGCGGGGGGGGGG